CCCCAAAACCCCAAAACCCCAAAACCCCAAAACCCCATCTTTTGAAATAATGGACTAATAGGTAGAAAAGATAATTATGATTCCAAAAATAAACTTTAAGCAAGGAGATCATAACTTTTATTACGTAATTTATCTAGTTGGTTAGCAATTTAAAATTAAACTAAGAAAATAAAATTATGATCAAAAGCTTACGAACTTGTGCAGTTACTCTTCTCCTATTCTTCACCCAATAACTCTACGGAGCTGACTATTCTTATACTAGGGATGTCTTTTCCTTTGATGTTATTATGCAGAGCAATGATACAGCCATATTTGTGTTTACTGTGCCGAATAAAATGTACTTTTGCATTGGATTTGGAAATTCAATGAGTTCAGTTGACATGCTTCTGGTTCAAGCTAATGGGGTTAGTAGCTTAGCCTATGATCTTTGGTCAGTTAATCATAATACACCTAAGACTGATTCCATTCAAAATATCGATTATCAATTTGAAGCAAATACGACTCATGTGAAATTTTATGTAACAAGAAAAATTGCTACTGGTGATACATCATAAGACTACAAGATCGATCTAGTAAGTTTTAATTTTCCACTTACATCCTATTTAGAATACAAATATGAATATGATATATGGCTATCACAAAGGAACCTCCAATTTTATTTAGCATTAATCCTACGGAACATTTTCCATGAAGTTACCATTTGCAAAGTTGATTTAAAACATAACTATAAACGGAACAAAAGGTAATATAACTGAATCAATTGTTGGAGCGGAAGATGAAGCAAAGAAGTTTTTTCAAATTCATGGCTGGATCTTGTGGGGTGCATGGGGAATATTTGGCTTTATACAACTCTTAACAACAAGATATTTCAAGCAAATCAGATGGTCAATTTGGATTCATATAATTAGTGGCTGGTTGATCTTGCTTGCTACCTTCATTATGAGTCTTTTAGCCATAGCTAGAGAGGAATGGGAAGTAAAACATGATTTTCATACTATACTAGGTACTATTGTCCTTGCCTATGTCGGCTTTGTTAATATATCTGGATTCATCACAAAGTAGAAATGGCTAAAGAAGCTTCCAATGAGAGATATTCACAAATTTTCAGGATTCCTAATAATTATAATCTCTTAAGTAGCTATAATATCAGGAGTATTTTCTTATTCGGAGTAATTTCTTGAGGAAGATGAGAGATCTCCTTTAGGAATTGTTCAAATAGTCATCTTCTTTTTCTTTTGGATTGCACTTGAAATTAGATATCAGTTTATGATAAGATCAAAGGTCAGTAGTTCTGATAGATATAGACTAGTAACAATGAAAGAGTTTAATCGATTAATATAAGAAGGAAGAAAGTTAGTGATTCTTGATGATCTAATAATAGATGTTGCAAAGTATATCTTTGATCATCCTGGTGGTCCTTAAGTACTCGATGGAAATATAGGCAGAGATATTAGTAAGTTCTTTTATGGAGGATATCAGTATGAGAATTTCAGTGGAAAGTAAGATAATCACGCCCACTCAGATTCTGCTAATTTGGTTGTGGCTAGTTTGACAATAGGAAGACTAGAAAAAAATTATTCTAAGGAATATTAAACTCAATTGATTTAAGATCAGATCACAGCAGGCGAGCAAACAAGAACATTTGTTTTCTAAGGTAATACAATCAGGCAAGGACTCTAGACTTTCTATAAAGACATTCAGATGATAGGAAAGCATTTCCTTGTGTATAATACTAGAAATCTTAAGGCTAAGAGACATTACACAATATGCAATTGTTTACTGCCAGAGGCTTACTCTGAGTACTTAAGAGTAATTGAAGAATTTACAGAAGAACCAAGTAAATCGCTTCTTTTTAATGAGAAACTCATAAATGAGGTGGCAAAAAATAGAATACCTCTGACCATTAAAAACTATAAGCAGCCAAGAGGATTATCTTAAATGATTCACACTGAGAAGGCTGGCGAAAAATACATGATCAAGGGTCCACTTGGGAAAGGTCTTGAGATTCATTTCTCAGGGGTACACTTAGCATTTACTGCTGGAACCGGATGCTTAGTATTTTTAGATTTGGTAGCTCATTTAATAAGAAAGAATCTTGACCTCTTGGATAAGGAGGAGAATGAAATGCTCAGCAATACTAACTTCAAATTCATCTTTTACCTTTCTTTCCCAAATAGGTAACAAGCCATTGGATTAGCATTATGTGAAGGACTAGAAAAAATAACTAAAGCAAAAGGTAAAAATAACTTTGAGCTAAGAGTAAGATTAAGTAACGAAAGCAAAGAATAATGGAATGAGACCTTCATCACCTAACAAATTCAAAATAACCCAGGAATTAAAAGAGTCTGGGTATGTGGACCTCCAAAAATGAATGAAACTTTCGACAAGACACTTTAAAAAGAAGAAAAAGGAGGGAGATTGCCTAAAGCTTCATTCGAAATTATGTGATAAATAAAATCCTATTTAACTATATTATTCTTATCTATAAATTATTTTAACATGTTAAAAAAAGTTTCTCAATTCAGCAGAGTGGGGTTTTGGGGTTTTGGGGAGATCGGAAGAGCACACGTCTGAA